AAATTGGTTTTATTCTGATTTCAAAACACTTTTGGAACCAGCTTTGTTAGACTAGATAACCAATTTTGGTGTTCTTTGCGTGGTTTGTGCTAGAAATAAGCCACAGTGGGAAGGAACACATTTCAAGGAATGGCATTTGAAAAAGGCAAAGGTTTTTGGGGAGGGGAACTTCCTAGTAGAACAGGAGGATGGGAAGAACATGCTATCTGCTTTGTTTTCTCCTTTGAAGGCAGGAAGAGGTACTGGTCAAGAATTAAAAGGCTGTTTAGTTTTAGTCCATATCTTGCAACCTGTAGCCTATGATAGTTAGCCCATCCAGAATGCTTGTCTTTGGCCCCGGTCACAAGGCAAAGTTGCCGTGGGAGAGGCACGGAAGGTGGGCGGATTATCCGGGCGCGATCACATCCCAACATCTGGGAAGTGGAGCGCACCCATGGCATACCGCCGACAATGCACATTTAAAAACTAGTACCTCCAAGGTACTAGTAAACGTTTGCGACGGGCTGCCTCCAAATGCCCGTGGTGTGATCGTGCTGGCGCGCGACATTCCCCTCCAGTTCCTCCTTTACCCACTGGCGCAGGGAAGGACCAGTGCTGTGCCGGCGCGTCTGATTGCGTAATTGTGGATCAAACTGCGCCGGGGCAATTAGCCACGCCTCCCCCCCTCGCAATATCTGGCCCGTGTGCCAGGGGCCTTTGTTTTATTTACGTTATATATATTTTAAAGTTGGTCTGGAAAGTCTGTAAGCTACTATAGGTTTCTTCAGGGAGATAAGCAGCATACAAATGCCCACACAAATAAGTAAATAAATAATATATGATCATTACCTTGTCAATTAGACCACTGCCCTCTGTTCTGCCAAGCTGTGGAGGCTAAAGCACCACAGCACAGTGGGGAAAAAGATGTTTCCTGAATGCATATTTGTATGCAAACTGGTACATACATATATCTGAAATGCAAGGATGATGCAGCTTCAACTGGCAACATAAAATAATTACATACCCAATTTTGATTTTCTGTGTCTTCGTGACACCATCATGTCCATTATGTGATCCCTAATTGGTTAGGATGAGACAGTGAAGGAGAAAGAATGGGGGGGGGGAAGCTTTGTGTGAGGATGGTATTGGCAGGCTGCCCAGACAACAGGATTGAAGAGGGTGGTCCCCTATAAATTGGTGCCCAGCCTTCACTCCTTCAAAAGACTAGTTGGTTCCTTCAAGATAGAGAAGGAATTCTCCCTAATGGGCCTGAAGGAATACGGTAGTGATAGCCAGTGGCTTGGTCCTTGACATTCCATCTGTGACTCTTTGGAGCACTGTTTCTCAGTGTGGCACCCACCTCATGTTCAACAAAAAAGTACTAGTAATGAATATTAGAGAACATACATCACCTTGGCTTATCTTCAGGATGCCTGGAGAAATTCAGCATCAATACCTATAATGTTATAATAAAAAATGGATACTAGAAACTTACTGAATTATGTCCAAAACAAAGGACTGCAAGAAAACACAAAAATCCAAAAACACACTTCTGGAAGTTAGTGTAGATATGTACACTTTCATATAATAAAGGTGTTCTGCATTTTGTAAAAATAATACTATCTCTTGTGTGATTTCCTAGCAACTAATATGTTCTTGGCACCTCTCCGAACCACCTAGTTGGGAACATCAAAATCCATGCAAACTAAGCCCATTATGACTATTATTATTATTATAAGGATTCTCTTCACACAAATCAACACAATTTATCTGAAAACAGTTATTCCAAAGACAATGCAGTATTTTATAACAACCATTTATAATCCAGTTTGTAACAAAGTAATCCATCATATAAACAAATGAATTGGTCATACACTAAATAAATATCTATTAAGTAGTAATAACTGACATCTTTTTTTTCTCACACAGGACCCGATCCGGCGAGTCTTCTATACACAGAACTTCTGCAGTCACCAAGTTCAATTTATGTTCTACACTGTAATTTACCTTGATCAAACCATTTGTTCAGGGCTCAAACATAAATATTTATCAATGTTATCAAGGAATAATTAAAACAGGTTTTCAGAATGTTTCTGTTATAAACACCCATAAGATCTTGTTTTTCTCAAATCTTGTACACAGTTAAATTGTTTATCTAAAAGAAAAAAAATCAGGTTGGCAAAAATCTCTAATTTCATATTGACTACATGAGCTGCTACATGGGCTAGATGCTAAAACACGACATTATAATCTGTTGTACTTTGTTTTGAACTAGGATTAACAGCAAAGGTTTGGGCTTCCACAAACAGTTGTGCATGTCATTTAGAAGGGTGATATTTCACAACGTTTGCCTAGCTGGATGGCTGAGAACAGAAAAGTCTGGTCACTTGTGGATTTTTCTACTTCTTATCCCAGGATTATAATTGCCTATAATGTATTTCTTTCAAGGACACTTTAATCCATATTAAAATGTCATCTGCCAGAAGGTTTTAACAACTCAGGTTAAGTGTGAGCCAGGGGAAAATTACAGGTGCATTTAACCAAGTGGACCAACAGTGCAGACAACAGTGATGTAACGGTGGTGGTACCTTACAATGCCCAACCCAAGAATCCAAGAATACTGAGCTGCATGGATAAGAGGATTGTCTACTGCTTGATGTCATTTGTTACTGATATGGGAAGGATTCAGTACTCTTGGTTTTTAATAATAATTGTGTGCTATCAAGTTGCAGCCAACTTATGGTGACCCTGTAGGGTTTTCAAGGCAAGAGATGAGCAGAGGTGGTTTGCTATTGCCTTCCTCTGCACAGCAATCTCAGTTTTCCTCGGTGGTCTACCATCCAAGTACTGACCTGTGGCCAACACTGCTTAGCTTCTGACCTCTGAAGACATCAGGCTATTCAGGGCTAGTCAGGTTTTAAACTAAGATGTAACTGCATTTTCATGGGCTTTTCCCATGCACAAATGGCTATGCAGTGAGAATGTGCACATAATGCAAGTGTGGTACTAAAGAGGGGTACTTTGGGGAAGTGAAGGACTGGAGGAGGAATGGGGAGGCAGAAAGCTGACAAATAGGCTCTCGGGCCTCCAGCTCTGAGAAATGACAAAAATTGCTTAAACTTTGGCAGAAAATGTTTGGGAACCTGGGTAATAATGCTCATGGGGTAACATTACATTGTCCTTAAGTGTTCAACTCTACCTATATCGCTTGCCTTTAACCATTGTTATCATGTTTCCTGAAATACAAACTGCACTGGTTTTATGGAATTTGGATTCTGATGGACGATTGCTTAATCATAATGTATTAAACTATGTCACTTCTGAAGAAGTGAGTAGTGATTCATGTAAGCTCATACCCTACCACAAGTTTTGTTAGTCCTTAAGGTGCTATTGCTACAGACAGACTAACATAGCTACCCATCTCGATCTATGTAACTTCTGAGAGACAACTTAAATTTATTCAGAAATGGCAGATAAAGTCTTGGTGCTGATGTGATTTCCCCCCCTTATACATAATTTTAATCAATCTAGATTTCGCAATTGCTGACATGCAATCAATGGGGTAATTCTGGGATAAATTTAAAGTGCATTACAGATAAAGAAACATATGTGATAAATTTCAACACATATTGGTAACTTTCCTTTCCCACATATATTATTTGCTCAGGTTTACCAGCTATGTAGTTTAAAGCCAATTACATTATGTTAGATCTTGATATGAATTTCTTAGATATGCAATCTGAATTTTTAGCATACTTCCAGGAAAATTTTTTATAGTTCAATGTTCCAAATACAATTTAAAAGAACGTAGGTAAGAAATAACTGACATATTGCAACGTGCCTAAGATTTGAAATTACTTTACCTTTGCTTTGACAAAACATTTCTAAAGAATACCACTTTATGTTTTGGTTTCTAATGTTAACTTCCCTTTCACTATTCCACCGATACACTATACAAAATAATCAAGCTTTTTAAAGATAAAAGTCCACATTCCTATAAATCTTTACTAATATAAATATATTGGCAAGAACTTTGACCAGCAATAGTAATTTCATACTTAAATAATTACATTTTCTTTTAAGTTTAACAATGACTGATTTCAGAATACAATATTAATGCACAATTGTAAAAAAGAAAACAGTAAGTACCCTTTTATTTTCTTTTTTTATCAAGTGCAGCCTTAAGAAAGAAATAAAATAGAAAATTGTTTATATATTAGAGGCTCATTCTAAACCAACATAAAGCAACATATTCTTTTCTTGAAAAAAAAGAATACAGTACATCTGTACTTTTATTATAAATAACTAAATTGTGTCTTCTGGCCAGCAAATGAAGGACATTGGTTCAGGAACAGTCTCAATTATGCAAATATTTGAGTAAGTCACATTTCCTTGAGAAATCATAGTTCAATTGCGCATTGAATAGATAGTAATGATGAGGTCATTTTATTACAATCTTTAAGTTTCTTGGTAGCCAGTACCAGTTGCCCTTGGAAAGAAAACTTTCAGTTTGTGTATTTTTTCTTCTTTAAAAAAATAATCAGTTATTTGTTTACTTTAAAAATTGTAAAGATGAAGAATAATACTGTTTATTTTAGTCCACATATAAATTATAAAACTCAAGTTTGCCAGAGTCTCTTTCCCAGAGGAAGCATAAAGCACTTTTGTGGTACCTTCAATAGAAAATATCTGTATCACATTATGTTTAACACACACAGTGAAGACTGATATTGCATCCTAATGTCCAAAGAGAACATTCATCTGATGTAGTCCTCATGATAGATGTGCTCCATGGGATTGTTTGATTGCCATGATTTTACTTGGTTTATAGATCAAAGAGAATAGAAAGACACCACATCTCATAAGTTCAGTAGGAATCTGTAATGATGGTGACAGCAGATTCTGTTCATTTGAGGTCAAACACATATCCTTTGGAAGACAAAGATGAGTTTGTGAATGCAACAACAAAACAAAGTAGTAATGAGGTAAACTCCCCTAGGAAAGCAGAGTAAGTAAAAATGTCAGGAAAGAGTTTGATTATACCTGACACCTAAATGTTTTTCTAGCCATATCTCAGCTAGTTGCATGGCAGAGGCAAATGTACTTGCTTTGGATCCTAAGCACATCTTGTATTGTTTAGGATCTAGGTTGGGATCACAATGAACTGGATGAAAAACATGCACCACGCCTACTTCTTGGCTTCTAAAAGCCTTCAGTCCAGAAGTTATTACTTTAGTAAAGAGGTCTACATCTTCAAGTCCCCAACCTTGAATTGAGGTGTCAAATCCACCAGCCCTTACAAGGTCACTTTTGTAAATGCAAGTGATCCCAAACCCATAGTCTCTCCAAAACCCAGTTTTCTTTGTAAAAACAAAGTTACTGTCCATTGGAGGGTTACCCCCATATGTTACTTTGGGATCGTACTGACTGAAAATAATAGGATAATAAACTTGTTGCCCTTGAATAGTGTTAGCTCGACACCGCTGGAGAAAGTCTGGGGTAAATATAAGGTCAACATCACAAAATAGCAGCAAAGTGTCATTGTCAAACTTGGAGGAGGCCATTTCAAGACCTAACCCTCTAGAGAAAACACCTGTCATTGGAATTACTGTTATGCCTGCCTTAGGATATTTATGATGATATTCATTAATCAGGTCTATGTGTTTACTGGAATCCTGACCAGAATCAGAACTGAAGAGGATAACTACCAGATGTACATTCTGCTTGGAGAGAAGAAGGGTCTTTTCGAAGTTCTCCATAAATCTTAAGAAAATATCGTACCTCCCTGTGAGAGGGACTAGAATGTGAATTTTTTTGTCACCGTATGTTCTTATTTCTTTGGCACCTTGAAATGATGAAAACATCTTCAAGGAATTAGAAAGGAAGGAGAAAGACTGTGTGGCGCTATTCAAGTTTTCTACAAGACTGACCACATCAAGATCACTTTCTTCTTTGAAAAAAGGTTTACTAAATAATTGCTGAAGGTAAGCATGCCGCCGAACTGGAACAGTAACTTTTCTTCCTTTGTGCCTTTTGTATAAAAGCAACAAATCCAGAATGTATTCCACACCATGCAAAGGGTCAATCCTGCGGTACCCATACTGTATTTCATTGAAGTCAATAAGCCTCCCTCTGGATTTAGAGTTCTCATTGATCATTTCCATTACCTGCATTACAGTGTCATCCAGTGCTGCCCGCAGGACACTATTAATGTTCTGTCTGGGTGGTTGATTCTCAGCCATAGAGTAAAGCAGCTTTCCAGTCAGAAACTCCCATTCAATTATTTCATTCCTGTCATGTGGCTGGAAGCGGTTAAAAGATGGCATCATTCCCAGAAGTTGATCATCTTTGCTGATTTCAGTGTTACTGAGCCTACTCATGAGGGCACTCTCTCTATGAAGCTGTATGGTGTGGTAACGTAATTCTGATATTTTACGGGCCAATATATAATTATGAAGTCTATACTGATAGGCTGGCCTTTTATTTGGATGAAGTGTAATTGCTGTGTGAATTTTGCTGTTGTGAAGATCCTGTATATAACCTTTCCGGTTGTGTTCATAGTTTTCATGGAACAGCTGCTGCATCTAGAGAACAGAAAATAAGTACTATTAGGTGGCTTGTTGTCAGCTATGAGAAACTACTAAGCTAACTCACATCAGATTTATTTTCATGCATTACACACTATACAGTAAAGTATTTATCCTCAGTCATCCAAAAAAGTTTTTAAAAAGTATCCTTATCTTGTTTTTACAAGTGGAAAAATACAAACATCACCATAAGAAGAAAACCCAATATGTAAATAGAGTGTGTTTGTGAAAAGACAGCATTGGGAGAGAAATTTTAAGTAAAGGTTTAACCAGTCGATTATTTAATGTTAAACTGTGGAAGTATTATTTTGGGCATGTTTATTATATACCCCAATTAACATCCTTGTATTTTTAATAACTTCAGTTATTTCTTCTTGCCACTACAAAATTAACAAAGCAAAACAAGCAACTACCATTTGAAACAAACCACCCAAACAAGTATGAAATATATTCAGGCTTACAAAGCAAGTCAGCCACAACTGGTTACAGACCATGACTCCCACAAATGTGTGCTTCTGCTGATAATGTCAAGAGAGCAGAGTTACACAGTTTGCGGCTACTGATTCTGTCCAATCAATAGGATGGCACCATCTAGTATATTTATTCACAGAGTTGGAAGAGACCACCAGGGTCATTCAGTGGCCATAAATATATTGTCAATGGTCTAATAGAGTTCCATAATCTTTTTTCAAGTAGCCCTTGTTATGAACTATCAACACTTGTGCCAAGTTCTTTCTGGCTAAAATGTTGCCTTCTTTAGTAGTAACAAATGGCCAAAATGCACAGTAGCTTTGTATGGAGAGATCTATGCTGCAGTCAGACATCATGCAATCGTCTGACTGAACGTCTATCCATCTGGTTTGCTCTGAATACAAGAACCTCGGGTTTTCAGGATGGAATTACACCTGCAAAGCAGAACTATAAAAACCCTCTCCCTTACTGCTTCTCTGGAGCTTTTCTAGAACAAACCTGTTGCCTGTCTTGGCCAACTTCACAGTCAAAATCCAAATGCTTCACTGTCTTCTCTTAACATCCCTCACCATTTGGGATAGTTTACTGCATAGCTCTAACATGTAGGCTGCAGTCACATGAGCAAGTTGCGCTGATATCATTGTGGTACCTTTGCAGATTTAAAGAGCACAGACAGCAACATCTGCCTTCCATGCCCCAGTTGTCCCCACCTTGTTCTGCCCCACTTTGGAAGCGAAGCAACCAGGCACTGGGGAAAGCCCAGTGTTTATGGATATCAGGGCTTTCACCCCATATTTTCAGATGTCTGAACTCTCCTAGTACGAGTTCAACCCAGTTGGGAAGTCTGATCACTCTGTTCCATTTTTGCTCCTTGTTTTTTTAGTCAGCGATGTGCACATAACTGCATCTTTGTGTACACCAGCAAGCTTTCAGCTGTCCTCTGTGGTGAGAAGTGGGAGAAGGGAAGGGCAGGCTGAGAAGCCTCCTTTGTCTTTTTTTCATGCCAGTTCCTCTGCCTATAGCTTTGCCGCACATAGGGTAGGGAAGGGGTTAATTGAAAAGATTAGTTTTTTCAGAGGGGGAGGCAACCTTCTCCAGCTGTCAAAATAGAGCAGTGCTTCAAATAAGCAGTTATGTGCATATGCAAAAAACAAATTAAAAAAGAAGCCACCTGCAGCAATAATCTGAATAGCTGACCATTGGCTGAGCACACAGTGAGACTGCTTAGGGTGTGCTGTCTGGTCACCCCTTCCTGCAACAATTTAAACTGCCACAAACAGAGGTGCCACCAGATTGCACCAAGCCTCAAAAATGGTTCAGATGCAGGATGGATACATCTGGAGGCTTTGATAAAATGGAGAACTATGGCCTCGGTCACACGGGGGGGGGAGCACGGCCAAAGCGCGGCTTTTCTGAGCCGCAGCAAAATAGACGCATGGCGGCAGGATCAGACAGATCCCCCGAGCCACCACGCAGTTTCTCCCCGGCACGATCAGATGCCGGGGGGGGCACGGGACAGAGAGCGAGGCAGCCGGCTGCGCATGTGTGTGCATGCGCAGTTTGGCCGGGAGCCTCGAATGCTGTGGAAGACGGGCGCGCCGGCGATCTCACGCTCGCCCTTGCAGCGGAGCTTCAGGTAGGTAGTACTCTTTTCTAGGGTGTTTTTTTTAATGTGCGTTTTCGCCTGGAAAGGACGGATCGGGGATGGGTGCGCTCCGCTTCCCAGATGTTGTGGTGTGATTGCGCCCCTTAGATGCGCCCCTGATACATCCGTCTTGTGGGGCAAAACCTCCAGGGTGACCGGGGCCTATGTATCATCTGCATATTGATAGCAGCCACCCCTAAAGCTTTCGATAATCTCTGTCAGCAGCCTCTTATAAATATTAAAGTGTACAGGTTGCAAAATAGAACCCTAAGGCACTCCACAAGACAGGGCCAACGTGTTGATTCTGCTTCTAGAATGGAAACTTTCTGTGTCTAATCTGACAAAAAAAATTACAACTAGCAAAGATTTATTCCTGTAGCACCAACCCACACTCTGGAAGATGGATGAAGATGGAGTGGTTAACTGTATCTGAGGCTGCTGAAAGATTTAACAGTGTCAGTAGAAATGATAAAAATCCCTGCCCATCTTTAAAATGGATCTCATCAAATAACACCGCCTTGGTTCCAAACCCAGGCCTGAAGCCCAACACATGTAGGTCAAAGTGCATATTTGTCATCCAGAAATCCCTGGAGCTTCTTTACCACTATACAATCTGCTTCCCCAGCAAAAGCAAATTGGAGACCAGCCTATAGTCGGCCACATCATCTCAATCCAATGTCTTTAAAGCACAGATCTAAGAACTGCTTCCTTCAAAGAACTACAACCCCCTTCAGTAAAATTAATTATTTTAACCAGAGGCTACAGCAACTTTTCTCAGAATGATTTTACAAGCCAGGGTATGCATGGATCAAAAGCACAAATTATGGTTCTTGCATCTCCAGGCAAGATCCATTTGAATCTATCTGTAGAAAAAGGGCAAGCAGATGCTTTTGACATTTTAGGCACTGAATCTCCTATTAACTTCACTTACACCAGAGATTTTATCAGAGAAGGAACCTACGAAAATGTCATACTTGAGGCCAGATTAACATCATCAACGTCAGACAAAGTTACACACCAATTTAAACAACTGAGCTGGAAAGGATTTAGCTAACAGAGGGAGCAATCCTAAGCAGTCTACTCTGAAGTAAGTTCCATTTTATTTGAAGACACTTACTCCCAGGAAAGTTCTCTCAGGACTGTAGCCACAGTGGTGGTTAAAAAGAACGTCTTCATTGCCACGCTCAAAGGCCTGAAAGTATGCTCTGTGACACACTGGCAAAAGGGAGTGGTTGCAGGATGAGACTTAAACATACACCTGCAGAGCTTTTGGGTACATCTTCACTGTATGATTCCTCCTGTTTATGTCATGGTGCTCCTTCCAGTGGAAAGTGCACCTGGTCTTAGGATGGGATTGCCCGACTAGCTGGCTCAGGTTTCAAGTGAAATTCATAGCTGAGCAATCAGAAATCTGTTAATTATAGCAGCATTGTTATAGAGAAGATATAAATTACATTTAAAAATGCCAGGTCCTTGATGTGGTGTCCGTCTAGGAAAGGAGATATATATTTGCAAATATTAACAGAATTAACCAGTGGACAACTAATTCCTAGACAAGGAGCCACTACACCTGTACAAAGTGAGTAGGTTAATACATTTCTATACATCATGTAGCCATGGTGTAGTTTGTTACTGTATGGACAAATTATAGGCAGCAGCAATATGTCATGGTAAAATATTGGCTGCGTCTGCATTACAATGCAGACCAGGGAGCCTTATACAGCAAATGTTCTCAGAGCCAAATATGTCCAACTGGCCTGCATACATTGAGGGGAAAAAATGTCATGGGCATATCACTTAATTCGCTGCTTATGCTCCCATTTATGGGCGCATATCAGCTGCTTAAGCATAGAATTCTTGATACTGAAACTCAAAGACTGTTTAGTTCAGCCAACAAATCTTGTTCACCTTTGAGTTTTGAGATCCCCCTTACTGTAAGTCGAATGGCTCCATACCTATCTACTTTACAAGTGCCACTTTACAAGTGCCACAAGAATGCAGAGCATTTTCTCTTGCCAGATTAAAAGCTATGCCATCTGTGATTTTACATGGCAGATATAACAAGACTAGCAGTAAAGCCCATTGTAAAAGCAATACAATGAGCTCTTGAAAGATGTGATGTGTAACGAATGCATCGGCTGGAAGCAGGTTAAGTACATATTAGCAGTATATGTTAGCCAGTGAGGATGCATTTTGCAAATATGAGACATTGGGTTTTTTGTCTAAACATCTCCTTCCTCTGCTCTGGCCTAAGTGTGTTCTAATTTTTCATTTTTTGCACAGTTATCTGGGTTTGTCACGTGTAGTGTGTGTCTTGTTTATTGCCACATTTCCCCCCCTGTTGAAAGTTTGTCTATGTGCATCTGTCTCTGCCTGTTTCCCTTCTTGGTCAAGGCTAAATCAAGACCAAAAAGTGAGGAACAATGCCTGGTTATAATTTCTAAAGGAAGCCAAGCTCTGACCTGGATTCCTGGTTTTTTTGCTTTAAATATGTATCTGGATGTCTGTATCTGTCTCTGTCAGTTTTCCTCTCTCTTTGTAATTGGTTTTCACACTCTGGTTGTGGTTAAAGGTTCCCCTCACTCGCAAGGTTTATCCCAGTGTCGCACACTCTCTGTATTTTTTTTAATGTATATGACATTCTCTATTTCAGCCAGTTGTTCCTGCACTCCTCCTGTTTATGCATGCCTACGTAGATCTGTATTTCTGCTTTGCAGCATGCCTTGGGTTTTTGGCTTCCTGTTTTCTGTGTGTCTGGTCCCACCCTCTATCTCTGCTTGTGTGTATATCCACTGGCTTTTTTGTGATAACTTGGGCTGGTTCCCCCCCACACACCTTCACCATGCTGACAGCTGTTTCCTTGGTGGGTGTTTTTCCATTC